TGTAACTCCTCTAATGGTTCACAAACCCCACAAGCAAGAAGGCAAGATGAGAGAGGGTGAGAGGTTCTAGAAATCGGCCCTAGGGTTCTCTTAGAATGAAGTCTAGCCGATTTCCATAGCCTAGGGGTCTTATTTATACTTGCAGGCTACTAGGGTTTTAGTCTAAACCCTAATGGACAGCTTAGTCACCAAGCAGCCCAAGGAACCTTCTGGAATAAGGCCTTGGACGAAAATATGATGGATCCCCATCATAATTTCATTCCCCCTTAAGTCCATTAGGTTTCCTTAACCCAAAACTTAACTATCATACATTTGACAGTTTATACCCCTTTATTTAATTAATCTCTTTTAGTCACCAAATTAATTCCTAATTAATTTATGACTAATACTAATTAAATAAATATGATTTCTCCTTTAATATATTATTCTTATAATATATTAATAAGCCATAATATTCTCTCTTTCTCCTTAAATTACCTTGTCAAGTTGCTTTGGAGAAGGCAACCCAAAAGGACCATGCACAACCGGGTCAAGTACATACCAAATATAGTTACGGGCTTAGACACTATTCTAACATGTTTAATTAACAAAATTTGGGGATGCAAAAATCATTTATACTTTAAGGAGTTTTAAATGATAATCTTATAAGATTGGATGGGCATCTTGAAGAATCAAATAGTCATCTTGGTTAAATTCAATAATCATCGTGGAGATTAAATGACGAACCTTGTCCCTATATAAGTACCATAACACACGTTTTTTTGAACAGCTAAGAAAATTTATAAAAACCAGCTAGCAGGAAGCTAGTAGACAAAAATTACAAAGAGTCGTGGATCATTGGGTTTTGTAACTACAATGTCCAAGTAATGTTACTTCTACTAAGTCTAAGTCTATTTGTAAACCAATCAAAAGAAAGAATTACAACGCTTTCAAAAATATTACTCCTCTTCATACTCGGTGTCTGGAAGACAACATTGTTCCTATATTGCCAAATCATCCAAATCGTGGTCAAAACCATGGTCTCCAAAGCTTTCTTCTTATTTCTTCCCAAAGAAGCAGAAGTTACCCATGCAAAAATCTCTTCAATATTAGAGAAAAGAGGAAAAGGAAGATCGAGCCATTTAATGACCTTCTCCCATATTTTATCAGCCACATCACAACTAACAAAAACATGATTATACTCTTCCACATGCAAGGAACACGAGGGACATAACACGGTGGGCAAATCAATACCTTTATCTACCAAGTTTACTCTAGTAGGAAGTCTATTCAAAAGAGTTCGCCAAATAAAAACATTTACCTTTATTGGAAATAGATTGCACCATCTAGTACCAATAACCCCTTCTTGAAGTATAAAGTTATCAATATGGCGCCTTGTACCACAAACTGAGAAAGAATCATTCGGGTCTAACGCCCACTCCCAAGTATCCGACTGATCACTCATTTGAATTTGTCTAAGAAGCCCCCTCAAAGCCGACAATTGATCAGCTGTAATACCACCACTTTTAATCTCTCTGAACCAGCTCCAGATCCAAGTACATTCTCTCCATTTATCAGCAACTAATCACTCTTTATGAACCTCCAAAGCATAAAGCCTCGGGTACCTATCCATAAAAATTTCATCTGCCAACCAAACATCTTTCCAAAATCGAGTACCACTCCCATTTCCAACTTTTTTACCTAAAAAAGAATGAGAAACAATTTGTTTTTCATGCATTTTATCAAAAAATTTAACCATTTTCGACCACACACCACACCCCTTCGGTTTATGAACGAGGAAACCTACACCCCCATTTACCCCATGAATGCTTCTAATCACCTTAACCCAAATGGAATTTATGTCTGTAACAAACCTCCAATGCCATTTTTGTAATAACACCAAGTTAAGCGCCTTTAAACTTCCTACACCTAACCCACCTTTATCTTTAGAATTCAAAACAATCTCCCACTTAATCCAAGATATCTTCCTTTGTATATCATCTCCACCACAAAATAAAGTAGCTCTTAAGGCTTCTAAAAGCTTAATAATCGTCTCTAGAATCTTGAACATAGACATGTAATATATACATAGACCACCAAGAATAAAACGAATCAAAGTCAACCTCCCTCCAATTGAAAGAGGCTTAACTTTCCAATTCGCTAATCGCTTCTTGAGTCGTTGAACCACCTCATTCCAATTATCCGCCTTCCCCATATTCAAACCCATTGTCAAACCAAGATAAAAAAAATAGGCTATTGGCAGTCGAGCAACCCGTAACCACAACCATCTCTTCCACCTCTTGCATAGTCGTACCAACACCATACAAGTTCGATTTTTGTAAATCAATTCTTAACCCAGAAACCAAATAAAAACAATTTAGAATTATGATAAGATTTGCAACGTTCCTATCATCCCATTCTCCCACAAACAAGGCATCATCTGCATAGAAAAGATGAGTCAAAGAATAACCTTCCTCTCCAACACGAGCACCACAGAAAAAACCTTGTTCAACAGCATTCTCCATGTCAACATGCAGACCCTCCATAGCAATAATAAATAAAAATGGAGATAAAGGATCCCCTTGACAAAAGCATCGTTGCATAATGAACTCCTAAGTAGGGTTCCCATTCACGAGAATAGACGCACGAGAAGAAATCAGGCAAGCATTAATCCATCTTATTCATTTTATGATCAAAACCCATGAAATCCATGATCCTCAAAAGATAATCCCAGCTCACTGAATCATACGCCTTATCAAAATCAACTTTTAAGATCATCATTTTCTTCTTTTTTCTGTGGTACCAATCCATAACTTCATTAACCACCAACAAACCATCTAAAATTTGTCTGCCTTTAACGAAAGCATACTGTTTCGGACTGACAAGATAATCAATAGCATTTGCCAATCGATTAGCTAAAAGTTTTGCAATAATTTTATATTGCACTCCATTTAGACTAATCGGCCTATATTCTTTAATACATGTGGGATTATCAATTTTTGGAAGAAGTGTAATGAAAAACGAATTACACCCATTAAGAATCAAACCATTTCAAAAAAAATCATCAATAAAGTTGTAGATATCATCTTTCAACATCTCCCAGAATTTTTTTATAAAACGAAATGAAAAACCATCCGGTGTCGGAGCCCGATCACTCCCACACGACCAAATAGCACTATGATTTTCTTCTATAGTAAATCGAGAACTTAAACTCTCAGTGTGAACCGAAGCTAGCTTTCTCAAATGAAGACTTGGTTGAGAAAGCTTTGCACCCGAAAAACTTTTGAATTTTTCTTTATAAAATCGTAAGAAATAATCTTTAACTTGATTTAGATTACACACCCACAACCCATCCACCATCAATCCGGAAATGGACAACTTTCTTCTTTTCCTTTTTAACATAGAATGAAATAATTTGGTGTTTTCATCTCCTTCCACACCCCATTTAATTTTTATGTTTTGAGCCACATCCAATCCATTATTTTTTTTTAAATTAGCCAAAGCTTTAAGAGTATCAATCCTAGCTGATACCAAGGTACAATCACGACTACCACCATCAAGCACACAATCAATATCATCTAACTTTGCAAACAAGTCTCTCTTAACTCCTCGATTTTGCAACACCACCTCCTTATGCCATAACTTCAACCTTTCTTTCACACTTTTTAATTTATGTTAAAAAAGAATGAAAGAATTTATATTTTCCTCATGACTATAATTCACCCACGCATCCTTGACTGTGTCCTCAAAATCGTCCAACATGAACCGTGAGTGAAATAGTTTAAACAAAGTAGGGCCATAATCAATTACATCATTTTTCAACACAATAGGACTATGATCCAACCATAAACGAGGAAGAACCAAACCAACCATATTATGGAATAAATCCACCACACCACTGGAAACAAGAAAGCGATCAAGCTTTGCCATTTTAAGCATTGCTTGTCAACCCGTGTAAAACGTCTTCCCCCATATGCACATCCACAAGATCCATATCAATAATAAAGTTGTTAAAATCATCCGCTGTTTGAGCACAAAAATTCGTTTGACTCCTTTCGTAAACCGTCCGAACAACATTAAAATCTCCAAAGATAATGCATTCACCAACATTATGTCTCGTAAAAGAAGACTTATAATCCCACATTTCTTTCTTACGATGTCTATCCTGTGAAGCATACACATTAATAAGGTAACATTTAACACGAGATGCTAACACCTCCCCTTCAATAATAAGAAGATTATCAGTAGACCAAACCTTGGTTTTTTATAAATAGTGGGATCCTTAACAATCAATAAACCACCTGATCTTCCCCGTGCACCACTACTAACCACATCAAACTAATAATTACCCCAAATCGAACAAACTAAAAATAAATCCAACCTGATCATTTGGTCTTTTGAATACCCAACACACCAATACAATTATCTATACAAAGATTTTTTATCCACCTCCTTTTCCTATGACATTTAAGACCACACATACCGACAAAATATTCATTTAAAACCATATTTCGCACCACTTCTTTCAATCAGGTTGACAATATCATCTTTACATCATGTAAAATCATATCCAAGTACTTGCCTATACTCCACATATCTTTCCATATCTTCAATCAAAGACCCAATAGTAACATTTTTTCTCAATGTTTTAACATTATTATTACTTGAAGAAGCATGTGAGAATTGAGTTTTTCCAGAAGGTGCTGATCGAGATTGAACTGGAGAGTGAAAACGCATCCCATCAAAACCAGGCGGAAACACATCCGAATTAGACTTCTGGAAGCCTGAACTTGCCTCGTCTCCATGCAAAACACCTCCACCGTCTTCTTTATTATTTATATGTACTTCATCTTTGTTACCATCCATGTTATAAGCAACCTTGATATTGTTTCCAACATCATCACGCCTTTCGTGGGGATCCTCCAATCCTCCAACTGCTTGATCAGTTTGTGGTAATGTCCCCTCTTCCTCCAACCCATCATATTTCCAGTATCTTCATTCCCATTGTTTTCTGGAATAAATTAATCCAAATTCACCCGACCCTCATCAGCCACACTGTAGTCATCTTCTTCATATTCCGACTCTGTCTCATGTTGTTGAGACTTCCTATCCATATTATCCTCAACTCTCTTAATGTCTGGACACCAAGATGCAATATCACGAACCTGTACCATGTACTCCTTCCCTTCAATTGAAACAATTGGATTAGCACATATAAAACTGGTAATGCTTGAACTTACACACACTTTACCATTACTTAGTTGCTCCTCCAAGTCATCATCTGAAAAAAGTACAGTCCCATACAAACCAACAACCTTTTTTGTAAGTTGCTAAAGACCAAGCATATAATGGTAATCCTTGGATTTCAAGCCACAATGTCCTTTCTTTCACAACAAAATTATTTTTCACTGTTAGTCAATGTTCTAAAAAGCTCGCCATGGCTCCGCCATGGCACGTCATGGCTCCAAGGCTTGTACTTGCCGTCAAGCTTTGACAAAATACCGCCTTAAGTCACATATGTATACAAAAATGAATAATAGTAGAATATATATATATATATATATATATATATATATATATAATTATTAATTATATACAAAATTGCCGCCTTAAGTCACACTTTACAAACGATGTGGCTCACCACGACTCAATAAAGTTTGAGGCTTGACATTGCCGCCAGGTCACGCCTTATGTTATTTAGATCATTTCCATTAGTAACTCCCTAAAATACAATTTGATCGTTTCATGTTGTTTGAATTGTACACATGCTTGCACTAACATGAACTTAAACCAAACCCACATTCCTCCAACATACTTTATCTCCATTTTTGTAAATCCCTCTACTTGACAGACTCGATACAATTGTTAGATTAGTGTAGCCTCCTTAACTTTTCCAAGAACAATCTTGTTACTGTCATCAAACAAATGAAAATCACCAGCCCCAAGAAAAACCTTCTTATTTTTATTCATAATCTCTTGTTTCTTTTCCCCTTTCACAACATTTGCATAAGACACACCATTCATCGGCACATTTCCATGCATATTACAAAGAGATATGAGAGAATGAATCTTCTTACATTGAAAAACAGAATATAATTATATATATACATCAATTAGAAAAGGAACGTCTAACTGAATGACGAACTAACATGTTAACTTATACTATTTACAATCTAGCCCTTATTTTATTTAAATTACAGAATAACCCTTCTAACTTATAATATCCCCCCTAAAATTGGTGCTGGAGAAAATAAATTCTTCAGACCCAATTTGCTAATGAATGGCTGTAACTTTGAGTGTGGCAAAGGTTTAGTGAACATATCAGCAAGTTGAAAAGCTGATCTTATGGGAAGCAATCTGATGGATTTATTTTCTACCTTTTCCCGTACAAAATGACAATCGACTCATTAGAATGAATATCGAAATCCTTGAACAATTGTGAGCCAAATAAATTCAGACGTAGTGGTAGCCATAGCCCTGTACTCAGCTTCAACAGAAGATCTTGAAACAGTTTGTTGTTTCTTCGTCTTCCATGAAATTAAAGAATTTCCCAGAAACACACAAAAACCAGTAACATATCGTCTTGTATCTTGGCATTTAGCCCAATCTGAATCACAAAATCCTTTTAATTGTAATGAAGATTCCTTTGAGAAAAATAATCCTTGTCCTGGTGCTTTCTTTAAGTATTTTAACAAATGAATAACAACTTCATAATGAGGAATGCGAGGTTTGGACATGAATTGATACAACCTTTATACAACAAAAGATATAGCAGGGCATATGATATTGAGATAAAGTAATCTACCAACAAGTCTTCTGTACTTGGATTGATCATAATATTCTTCTCCAGATTTGTCATTAAGATCAACTCGTGGATCCACAGGTGTATCTTTTGGTTTAGTGGCAAGTAACCCGGTATCTTCAAGTAATTGAAGAGTATAATTCCATTGTGAGACAAAAATACCTTCTTTGGATCTTGTTATTTCCATTCCCAAAAAATAGCCTAAAAAACCCAAATCTTTAAGCTTGAATTGTAAACTCAATTGCTGCTTTAAGAATGCAATTCCTTCTTTGTAGGGGTCTGTAATGATAATATCATCAACATAAACAAGTAATGCCTCATATTTGTCCCGTGATCCTTTATGAAATAAAGAATAATCAGATTTTGATTGAGAATAACCCAAAACTTTCATAAAGGTGGAAAATTTATCAAACCATTGTTGTGAGACTTGCTTTAACCCATAAATGGACTTATTTAACTTGCAAAAAAGTCTGTTCCCAGAAGATTCCCTCTGAAGATCAAGGCCTGGTGGAACATCCATGAATACTTCTTCCTGTAAATCGCCATTTAAGAAGGCGTTATTTACATCTAGTTGAACTCACTCTTTTGTTGCTGCAATGGCTAATAGCATCTTGAAAATGACTAATTTTGCCACAAGAGAGTAGGTTTCAAAAAAAATCAATTCCTTCCTTTTGATTGAAACCTTTAGCTACCAAATGAGCTTTATACCTTTCTATTGAGCCATTACTTCGATATTTGATCTTGTAGACCCATCGGTAACCAATTGTGTTCTTGTTTGGAGGTAAGGGCATAATAGTCCAAGTGTGATTTGCTTTCATGGATTCTAATTCAGAATTCATAGCATCACACCATTCTTTATATTGAGATGCTTCTTTGAAGTGTTTTGGTTCAAAATTGGCTGAAATATTCATGGCAAAAATTCATTGATTAACAGATAAATTGTCATATGAAACAAATTTATCCAACGAATGTGGATGAGATGAATGTGAATGGTGAACATGATTGCAATGATAGTCCCTCAAATAAGAAGGTGGTTTGTGAACTCTAGTAGGTCTACTATGAGTGGGTTATGTAATTTGAATGATAGATGTTGGTGGAGAAGGTATATTTGGGGACAAATTTTGAACAGGGGTATTTATGGAAATATCACAATCAGACATAGAAACAGGTAAAACAACATGAGAGAAAGGGTCAACAAAATCTAAAAAAGAATTGTTATGAAAAGGAAATATCATCTCATGGAAAACCACATCTCTTGAGTAAAAAATTTGTTTGGTTTCAAGATCTATCACTTTGTATGCCTTCATGTGAGGAGGATATCCAAGAAACACACAAGCTTTGGCTCTAGGATGAAATTTTGATCGACGAGTATTCAATGGTACGTGATGCATAAACAAGACATCCAAAAGTCCTCAAATGTTTGTAATTAGGAATAACACCATATAGACTTTGAAATGGTGATTGATTACCAAGGACTTTTGATGGAATACGATTTATCAAACAGGCTGCAGTTAGAACACAATATCCCCAGAAGTGAATTGGAATTTTGGATTGAAACATCAATGATCTAGCTACATTAAGTAAATGTTGATGTTTTCTTTTAACCACATAATTTTGTTGTGGTTTGGCAACACATACTTTCTAGTGAATAATTCATTTTTCTGCAAAAAATTCTTCAAAAGCTAGTTCCTTTGCATTATCAGTCCTAAAAGACTTGATGGACTTGTTGAATTGAGTGTTGACATATGCCCAAAATCGTGGTATAATATTTGTTATGTCAGATTTATGCTTCAAGAGATATATCCATGTGTATCTACTTTTATTATCCACAAGAGTAACAAAAAATCTATGGCCGTGTAAGTAGAATGTTTGTATGGACCCCATATATCACAATGTACAAGAGAAAATGTATCATCACACATGTGATTACAACTTTCAAAAGGTAATTGTTTTTGTTTAGCAATAGGACATACATAACAATTTTCATTGCTAGTAGGAGATATAAAAACACCTAAATCTATCAAAATTTTCATTGCTAGTAGGAGATAACCCCTATGAATCGTGATGAAAACTCAATTCAAAATTTATCAACAGGATAACGAAGATAACAATAAGAAGAAGAAAAAAAAATTCAGTTCCGGCGTTTGATCCCGCCGGAAAAGCCGTAGCCGCTGAGAAAGTTGTGATCGTTGTAATAGGGTTTTTTCGGAATTAGCAAAACGATATTACAATAACACTCTAATTGTTTTGATATTCTTAGAGACATATTTTGAATAAGAGTCGCATTGTCAATGGAGAGATTCACCGAATTGTAAGGTGAGACTCTATATCTACACTCTTTATTTCAATTTCTTCATCCTTGAGTGAACGTGTAAAATCACATCGATAGTGAAACCATGTAAATGCTTTGTGTTTAATTTACTTTGTTTATTTTGTTGAAGTTCTTTGAACCAATGGTTATTGCATTACTTTGTTGGCAGCATCACTTTGTAATTACATTTGGGACTAATTAGTTGATACTTGATACCCCACCCCAAGAAACAATGAATGGAGTTTATGTTTAAGCATAACAAATGACAAATTTAGCGTTATAAATAATATAGTTGAAGAGGAAGACAAATATTGTTGGTGTTAAAAATTACACATAAAAATATATTATACATAAAAATTACACAAGTCGTTCATATGATGAAACTTAAACAACAAATATTGTTGGTTTTAAAAATTTGGACCATTACTATAAATTAAATATGACTTTAAATTTACCCATATAATCAATATTTATATCTCTATATAATTTTTTTTTAATATATAATATGAATGATGATGTTATATGATTGGATATAAATATTAAAATATATAACAACCATAAAAAAGTGTTTTTAATATGACCCTAAACTAGCTATTCTCTATTTTAATTCCAAAAGAATATCCTTGAGTATTTAGACATTATCCGCGATGCAATTTGTAATTTACTTCAAACAAAATGCTACAGTGTAAATGTTATTTATTTATTTATTTATTCTTTAAGTTTTAGTGGGTCAATCTTTATCTATTTATAATTTTTTGAAAGAAATATTACTATATACTTGAAATGCGTGAGATTCAAATATAAATTAGTTTGATTTTAGAATGTTTCATCTTATATAAAACGACATTCGCAGTATATGACTGAATAATTACATCCTTTATTCAAATAACATTATTAATTACTTTTATTATTTTTTATGTATATGTCATGAGACCGGTTGGTAGAAACGCCAAAATATGGCACTTACCCTTTTGTCTTGAAAACATTTAGGAATAAACTGTCATCTCATTGTTGCATATGTGCAAAAAATACAAAACATGATAGGTACGTTCTACTAATTTATACATAAAAAACAGTCGTAAAATGCAGTATAATTTGTTACAAATTCATGTAAAGGTGGCGAAACCAAGGTATATTTTATGGTCAACCGAATTCATGAAACATTTTCTTTTAGACGCATCTCGTTGCCTTTTGGATCCTCGTCATTGTTCGATGCCCTCTTTTTATTTCGGTCCTTTTTTGGTCGAGGGTCTTGCGCTGGTGACTCTGACCCCATACTCGAGTTTTTGGTCCGCCTAGCACGGCTACTTTCATTATCACTAGTTGAGCTCTTGTTCTTCCTAGTCTTAGGTTCCCTATCTGGGGTATTTATTGAATTGCTAGAACCTTGCTTCTTTTTCTTTGACTTGCCACGACGATCTGATGACTCTGCACCTAACGCCAAATGACATATGACCTTGAATTAGAAAAAAACTTATAGATAGTGTACCTTAAGTAAAATAAGGTATATGCAACCTCATGCATCCCCACCAACCGACCCCACTATTAACATTAGGAGATAAATCACATGATTCACATCCTTAACACTAGGACACTTACGTACAAAAGAAGTATACACCATCTCGGGATATTCCCGATTAGTGTCCCAAAGGCAACATGGGGGAAGGTTGTTGAAAAAGTCTCCAAAGCAATGAAGGTGATGAATAGACATGATTCTAATGCCTTACTTATGACTTCTCACTTTATTACCACTAGTCAAAAAAACAAAACGAAACCGATGTGAAAAGTGTAACCTTTGTCCCACCTTTTAAATCGGATGATCCAGCATCTGAAGAACCTTGAAACTCGTTCATCTGTTATAACAAAAATTAATCAAGAACGATATCGTCCAAAAAACAAAGATCACCAAAACGACGTTTTGCCTCAATATTCACAATCACATCAGACACACCAATACACTATAATGAAATTGGGGATTACCCAACTAGGCGCATTCGAAGAAGGACCATCACAACCAATATGGGCAACATGCTTAACATCCGTGGGTGCACCGATCTGTATTTCTGGTTCTTTTTCGTTATCCGCTTCTGTAATTTGAACCGATTCAATGAATGTCATAACTTGAAACATATAGAGATTAAACATCTTATTGCAATCAAACCACGGAAAACATACCGAAAATTTCAGAAATGTAACGCAGGCCTTTTAATAGACCTTTCATTGCGAGCTCATGCTATTCTATCGGCAAAGCGTTAAACAAAACAAGAATCGCGCCTGAAGTTTCTGTTGTTGTTTCTCTATCGTTATTCTATTAGAAAATTGTGAAGAATTGTACGAAAAGTTATGAGCTCATGGGAGCAATGCACCCAGATGATCGTTCATAACAAATCAACACGAAAATGGTGATAGAAATCGATGGATAATTGTGTTTCGGAAGTTGTGTTTGAAAATATAATTTTTATGAACATACGAAATAAAAAGTTTAAGTGGGTGGGAAGCTGGAAATATTTTGTTTAGGTTGTCAAAGAATATGAACCATAAACTGCCCCCGAATTTAAGGGAGCTTCCAAAAAATACGGGAATAAACCCATATTTTGTGTCCCAAAATGCATCTTAAGTTTTATTTATTTTAAATAATTTCATGGGTCCATCTCCATTTTTGTTGCAAAGTAAACCAAATATTTCCAGCTTTTGTTACTATTGTATAAGGTGATGTTTAGATGTCTATTAATATTTGATAGCGCTAATCAGTCAATAAATTATAATAAAACTGTGTTATAAAAGACTTGATTTTGTTGTGTTGAGTTAAAATAGATAAAATGATAAAATAATAATATTCTTAGGCAGTTGGGTATGAGTACCCACCCACCATGCTGCCACATCACAGTTAAGTCGTCAACGCCTAGAGGGGGATTACGTTTGTCCATGAACCACACGTCATGAGGCAAATAAAGAAGAAAAGCAGTGTTGGCTTGCGTCGAGCCCTCCATGCGATGTCACGAGTCGCTAGGCCGAAGCGGTGTTCCATAAGCCTCAACGCCACTGAGTCCACCTCAGCCTCTCAACTGCATTGAGATGCCCATATCGACCAGTCTTATATATTATTAAATAAGCATCTCCAATAAAGTCTTAATATTTTAGCCAAGTTTATGAAAAAATCTCAAATTTAATTCTAGGGATAATGACTTAAAAATGTAACCGATTTTTCGATTTGTACACATTTAGTCACTAAGTTTTTTGTCCATATTTTCTCATTAAACTTGTTTTAAATGTTTAAAAAACATTCTTATGACCCGTCTATAGTAGGGTTAGCAGATTTTTAACATATTTGACAGCTCACGTGAGACTATGGTCATCTTATCCGACGTTTATGATTTTTCCGGCGAAACATGATCTTTTCAGGAGAAGATTATTATGGGTAGGTTGTTGTTGAAGTTCATGTGTGTGTGTGTGTTAGGGTTTTTCTAGAAATCGAATTTCATGAACTATAACGAGTACCCATATCTGAAACAGAGGTGTTAGGGTTTGCAGATTGGACCTAAGGTACGAGATGAGTGGTACTCCAGGTGTCGAGTGGCGCATCTCAGCGTGGAGGCCCGGGTGTTGCAAGTGAGGGCGAGGGCACAGGAGGCGGAGGCGGCGACATTATAGTCGAAACTGCAACAGGGGAAGGTGTGGAGGTCGGGAAACGATTCATGTGTATGAACTCGAAATCTTGGTTTTTTTATGTGAGTTCGTGTGTCCTTCAAAAGTGAGTTCTTCAGAAAAAATCATGTTGACCAAAGAAGATGACCGAAGTCTCGTCGGAAAAAGCATTGGTGGCTGGAGACTCGCTGGAAAAGATGACCGAAGTCTCAACTGAGTTGTCAAATATGTTGGAAACCTACTATAGCAGGTCATAACGATGTTTTTTAAACAGTTCAAACAAGTTCAATGAAAAAATATAGACAAAAAAAATAGTGGCTAAATATGTACAAATCAAAAAATAGGTTACCTTTTTAAGTTATTGTCCCTTAATTTTATTTACATAAAAACATAGAATATAGGCTAATTTATTCACCCCCAAACTTTTTTAATATTTTCTTCCGGTAACTTGTTGAGGTGGCCTAATTAAATCACGAGAAATTAAGTAATCCAACAACTTTTTAATGTGTATTTGAAGAAAATAATCAATTTTTTAAGTAAAAATAACCACTTGGTTCCGAATGGGGATTCCAGACAAGAAAAAACACTTGTTTTTATTGATTTCGAAACGAAATTCTGGACTTTGGACCAATATTTCGGACTATGGATTAAAACTTCGGATTTTGGAAAAAAAAACTCTGGAATTTCAAGAACAAGTCCGAAATCCGATAAACAATTCCAGAATTGCGAAAAAAAATTTGTTTTTCTACTTAAATTTAACAAAAAGTTAAACTAATATAGTAATGTGAACTATATACGATATTAGTGTATAAAATTAGACATTTTATTGAAAAACCATGAAATTAAACATTTCGAAATGTAACATTCAAAATCCAAAAAAGAAATAAAAAGATTTCTTTGATATTTTTTTAAAACTCCAAAATACGAACAATACTCCGGAATACGGGCATTCCGGAGAAAATTGTTATTTTTAAAAAAATTGAAAAAATGGTTATTTTCTTTGAAAACGTCGTTTATAATGGTTAGATTACTTAATTTCCACTTATTCTTAACTAAATGACATGGAGGAACCATTTTTTCTTTTTGCATGTTCTCAATCATCGACAAGAAAATCTCAGCCTCCCTGAGTCCCTTCGGTTCTAGAAAATCGAGAGCCAAGAAGCCCAAAGCAAGCATGTTTGCTACCTCTTCCTTCTCTACGTCTGTACCCTCCTTGATTTATGTAATATCCTATTCTCGATGCGTGCAATTTAATTGTATAAAATTCTTTATGGACGGGCCTTGGACATTTTGGACTTGAAATTTGCCATTGGGCTTGTCCAGTCAATAAAGCGGGAAGTGCTCTTGCAAAGCGCGGGGCGCTTAGGCCCATACATGTAACATCCAGTTCAGGATGTTTCTATTTCGGGATTGTGGATCGTAATTCGATCATGCAAAGGATTTGGGATTCAAGGAAATAAATTTTAGACCTTATTGAATGTTGATAATATTGGTTAGGAGATCTCAACCCTTGATTTGTGTGTTGGGACCAAAGGGTAAAATGGGAAAAGTAATATCTAAGGCTCCTTACACGGATTATGGTTTTATTTCAACATGTCTAAATTAAAAAATAATTAGATAGGGTTGTGGGGCTTGTCAATACATCCGCGTGCATATAAAGATAGCCGAAAACAGAGTTGACCGAAGAAGTTATGATTGTTTGAAGTTGGAGTGGATTTGGGTGAAAACCCGTCGTCACAAGGTGCCAAGCATGTTGTCACGAGGTGAGAGCCATCACGAGGTGACAAGAATGTTGTCATGACGTGAGAGCCATCACGAGGTTACAAGCAGGTTGTCACGAGGTGACCGTTGTGCAGCCCAAGCCCATGAATTTTAGGGTTTTTAACGTATTTAAAGGTAAGCATTTGATGTTTTAGGGTATTTTATTAGCCTCCATCACATATAGAACTCCTTGGGAGAAATTCTAGCATCCCTCTTCAAGATTTGAGCTCCTCCCCTCTCCCCTCTCCTCTTTTGGATGCTTTTGATGGCATTTTGATGAAGTTTGAAGACCAAGAAGGTTCTTTTTATTGTAAGGAATGTTGTTTTAAGTTTAGATCCATCAAATTCACTCCATTTATGGACTATTGCGAGTATAAAGTTCATATCTTGCTCTTTATTTCTTTAGATCTCTTAATTTGTGGTTTTTGACACTTTTGGTCCATTTTATGGGTGATCTTGGAGTTGAGTGGACTCCAACACATTTTGATCAGTTTGGAATGCTTCTTGGACGTCACATACTAGGAAAGTTATGATCTTTTGCCTTCCCTTTTTCGCCATGCAAGTTATCTTGGTCCTTTATTAAAGTTTATAGCTTGAAAGCTTGAGTCATTAGTATTGATAAAGTTGGAAACTTTATCCATCTAAACATCATGTTGATTCAGATATGAAGGTTGGAGACTTGGACTTAATAGAAAAATCTTTCTGATCGAAACCATGACATGGCCAAGAAGGCCCGCGACGTTGTGGCTCGCTGCAACGCGTCTGCTTTCTCTGGACGTGACCACGACGTGGCAATGGAATTGCCACGGCATGCCCACGATGTTGTGGCTCGCTGCAACGCGTCTGTTTTCTCTGGACGTGACCACGACGTGGCAATGGAATTCCCACGTCGTGGGGGTCATATGAGTTGACTTTTTGACTAGTTTGACTTTTGGTCAAACTTGGGTAGAATTGATTATTTGACTAAGGACTGGTCTCGGTTTGGCCTTAGGAAGCTTGGGTTGGTTTTTTTGTTGTTGAGGTAGCTATTGAGCTTCTGTTGAGTAGTTCACGCGAATCTTCTCACTATAATATGTAGGATGCTAGTTGTCTTTATGATACTTGCATTGAAGACCATGGGGGTAGCCCATGGAAAATGTATGAAAGAACAAGGGGTAGCAATGACACTTGGATGTAAGACCATAGGAATAACATATGACACTTGGATGTAAGACCATGGGGGTAGCCCATGACATTTAAGGGAAAGATCATGGGGCAACCCATGACACTTGGATATAAGACCATTGGGGTGGCTCATGGCATTTCAGGGAAAGACCATGGGGGTAGCCCATGGAAAATATATATGGTATGTGGTATTTTAGGGGAACTCACTAAGCTTTATGCTTATGGTTTATTTTTAAAATGTTTAAGGTATTTCTTATATTGAAAGAAGGGCACGACTTTATTGCATCGCATCCATTGGAGATTTTTGCACTTAACAACTCTTATGTCGATACTCTGATAAATGTTTTTGAATCAAATGGTTTTATTAGATCTCTAATATTGTAATTGGAACAAATGCTTTTATTTTTAAATGAAAATTTTGGTTTGAAATTTGGGACGTTCCTGATGGGTTTTTATGGGTTATCAAAAAACATGTAAAGCATAAAATCTTAACACTTAACTTCACATGCAACCTATAAAGGTTCTATGTTTTCTCTAATTGATAGCAACATACTATGAACTTCAAGAACCCTAAAGGAAACTCTATGGAAATCGAAATTTAAGAATTAGGGTTTACATACCTTTAGATTTATTATAGCAAATAAATATTTGATCCTTTCCTTTGTGTCTTTAGAAAGCAAACATTAAAATTATGATGCCTCTAATGGATCACACCTAAAACCCTAGAAACCCTAGAATAAAGTGGAGAGATAGGAGAAGGATAGAAATTTCGTTCCTAAGCATAATAGGGAGAATATGAACGAAATTTGATGTCCAAGGGGTCCTATTTATAGTTTAGGTAACTTGCACGCATAAACAGATTTGAATTAATTAAATAATAGATTTCATCCAAATTTAAATCATTTCCTTATATGCATCCATGAGGCATCTAAAAACCCAAG